TGTTGTCGTAGCAGCTAAGTACAGGCTGTGGTTAGGCATTACTCCATGGCCGTTTTCTTGGTAGGATGGTTTTCTAACTCTACCTGCACAGCAGGTACACTCTTTATCCACTTGGAACTGGTCTTGTTTTCCTGTGTCTTCAGTCCTCCTGCCCACAATTTTCGGGGCAGAACAATCAGATTAAGCTGAAGTCTCACTGTGCTCTATAAAGTGAGCTAACACTAGTGTAACAAAACTGCCAAACACCTCTTTATCATCATCTGTGTATTTCCAAGGTAAGTTTTTTTTAATGGAGAGTTTGCAAAGATACTAGTGAATACTGGAGAGCAGCACTTTGATGGTTTTAAGCATAAATGCTCCCATAAAGAGCACTTGGAAGTTATTATCCCTTAAGTGCTTGAGAGAACTGAAATAGTGACCAACATTTTTATGAGGAAGACATCATAGTTTTAATTGCATATCAAGATAAGTGGTTTACTTTTCTAGATGTGAATCTTGTCTTACATGTACAGAATGATTTTAGTATTCCTTTGCACTTACACAGTCATGGAAAGAAAGATGTATTTGGTGGCTTAATTGTGAAATACTCTGCTGTGAGCATGCATGGATTGAAAATACGTTCACGCATGCTTTGTAGCACAACAAAGGAAACTCATTGCAATATTTATTTAAATAAGGAAAAATAGGAGTCACTATGTATATAACTTCAGAGTCTTTGGGATTAATCTTCTGTAAAATCAGTGGCAAAACAATATGCATAGCAAGAAAGTAAAGATTATCTTTCTTTTTTTTCCCCTTTAAATTGATTTCAAATATTTTTGGCATCCTTTAGAACAATCTTCCTGTCAGAAATTTTCAAACAATTAGTGAGGAAACCTTGGAAATCTGGGAATTAGTCGCAAGAGATTAATTCTTTTTGTTGTTTAATATCTAGTGCTACTTTTTAGTAGTATAACAGATATTTTGTCTCCACTCAAATAAATTAATGCTGTAGACTTCACTGTAAAAAATACCCTTGTCACTGGTCAGGCACAGTTGGAAACCTCATTTTACAATTTAATGTGGCAATGTAAGCAAATGTATATTAGATGATGTATTTTTAACACAGATAATTTGGTATTTTTCTTTATTTACTACTGATATGCAGGAAACGAGTACACCTCTAAAGACCCAAGTTACACCTGTGTGTTCTGTTGTGAATATGTCTTGTAAGTACAGAATGTGTATAGGAACTTGCTGACTTCTGTTCATCCCATCTGTGGCATTCAAACAGGAAACCGTCATTTCATGTTAATCTGTAAAGAGAATATAGCTGTCTTGTTTAAAGAATAAAGAATTTAGTGAAACTATATATATTTATGAAAGGGTTGAAAAGGGATGTTAAGTTTTTAAATTTCTTGTCAATGTGATCATTTATTAAAGAGAATTATTAAGTCCATAATTTGAAACACTGTCTCTGTAAATGGAGCTCAACATTCCATGTAAATATTTTATTTCAGTTCATACGCTGATATAGCCATCAGATTTTGCAGTTTTATTCTAAATGTGTATTTAATGTGGGGGTCATCGCATTAGGCTCAGAGTTGTGTGAAACAAATGAAATGCAAGCAACAACAGCAAAATTCCTAGGAGTCTGGAAATGTTTATGCAAGAGTTACAGATGTACTGAATCCCAGCACGGATACACGCTCTGCTTCAACAGCTATAATGTAACTTTTGTCAAATTTCACCATTTTCCTGGTGGACTTAAACTTTTTTTGTAGCATAAATAGCATTTTGATGATTAAATTAATTGCATGGAGATTATGCAAGTTGAGAAAACTTTTTCTATTTTTTTTATTATTACTGAAAATCAAACCGTTTTTCAGGGGATCTGGAATTCAGCCAGTCTGTTTGCCTGCAAGATGCCGAGTGCCTTCGCCACCTCTTGCAACACAAACTGAGAGGGCACTCAGCATGTCTCAGGATCTGACCATTTCCAACAAGAGAGGCTTTAGTCCTTATTGAAACGCTCTTAATGCTGCTTCCAACCTGGGCTGTCTCAGAACATTAGCCTATGATAATGATCACATGAAAGACCTGCTTTTCTCTTTAAGAAATAGATGCTAGAATAATCTGCAAACTGCCTGGTAGAGACAGATCTGGCTGTCCTGCAGGCTGTTTTTCTTGTCCTTTTGAAATTAAATATAATTCCCATTCCTGGGTCAGTGTGGTCTAAGAGGACTCAGCCAGGTTGGATGGGGCTTTGAGCAACCTGGTCTAGTGGAAGGTGTCGTTGCCCATAGCAGGGGGTTTGTAACTGGATAATCTTTAAGGTCCCTTCCAGTCTAAACGATGCTGTGGTTCTGTGACCTACACAGGTTTGCTGTGCTGGGCAGCAGTAAGCAGCATGGTGCTTTGCTGCGTTCACAGGGACACTCACCCTCTGATCCTCAGCACAGTCCTGGCAGGGGTTTCCTAGACGGATGGCTGCCTTCCTCATCTTCAAGCCAGGAGCTAAATTCCCAACACCTGCAAAAGAAAGGGAATCACAAAAACATAAACCCAACCAACCGAGTAAAATGTGCACAGGGACTTCAACGAGTGAGAAATAATTTTAATTAAATTACTAGATGGCTCTTGAAAATCAACATTATTGCAGTATTAGCTTAAAAATAAATAATTATCAAAGCTACTGCTTTCCATGAGGCAGGCAAAGGTGGGACCAGCCGAGGCACAAAAAATGTCTTAGCCCAACAGTTTCAAAAGGACAGGAGCCTGCTTATCGTGATGGATGCTGAGCCCATGTGCTGAACTGTTCTGGGATACCAAGAGGGGGCGGGATTGTTCCTTTGACTCCTAAGAATTTGGGAATGAAGACAACTAAACATGTTTCCAATATTCCACATATTCAAGTTGTGCTGTGTGGGTTTTTAGAGAACTGTATGTTTTGACAGTCAAGTCCAGATGTTTTTATTGTTTTAGCTGTTTGTCATAGTCCAACAAATGGTAGCATTTTTTAATATTGTACCAAGCTCTATACTTGAATTTGCCACCAGGTTCTTGGTTGATGTCTTACCTGAAATCTGATCTTACCTTCTTATGCAAAACAATAAATTATTGTTTTATCACTGAAGGTGTTTTTTCTTTATTGTAAATTGCACCATAACGTACAGGCATAATGACTTGAAAAGGTGAAATGCCCAAGTAGTAAGTTATTTCATAGGTTTATTAACAGTTGTGCTCCGATTATCTTTAAATGGGAAAATAAAGCAACCTGAAACAGGGACTAAAATACTTAAGTTTTACTTTTCATTGCCATATTCTCCTTCAGAAAGGATGTTTACCCTTTCCTGCAGCCCACCCCAAAATAAACCATTTTCTTTCCGAGACAGCTTAAGTCAGTGGGTCAGTGCTTAGAGTGCTATCCAAGTTACCGACTCGGAGTGCTTCATTGGACACGTATGCTCCTAGGCCACTGCATGTCCCACAGGAGGTTGTGTTCATTTGTAAGACTCAGTGAAAGTAATGCTTAAACTAAGTCACTTTTTGCAGTGTTTTATGTCTTTTCTAGAAAAAAGAAAAAGGCCTAACACATACTAGGATTAGAGAGGAGACTTTTAAGCCCTCTCTGTTTTGTTTCAGTGCAGTATTCTGCATTTCCCACATGTACTTAGGTCTGGTTTCTACTGTGCGTGGAGAATTTTTCCTCAGTAAAGCTCATATTTACTTTTTGTTAGATTGTTTCAAAGGATGAATAGCTTCTTCAGAGATTTAAAGTTATAATCTAAATCTATTTTTTTATTGCAGTACCTACAGTCATTTCCCCACAGGATTAAGAGTTTTCTGTGCATCAGCGCTTAAAATCATTTGTATTTGCAATTTGCCCAAGAACCTTTTGCTCTCAAAGTCATTAAGTATTTATCATCTATTAGCATGATTAATGTATGATACGAAGCATTCAACAGGAAAATGTCTGAACACTAAATTGAAGGAGGACAGTGAATGTAGTTCTTGTTTTAAGAATTCTGGTGCTAGATAATGGTTAAAGATTTCAGCAGGAACATGCACAAAAACATTTGGAAACAGTTAAAGTCTGGTCTTAAATTTTGTCTTATGTTAAATGACAGTACAAATGAGAGAATTTGGACTTCTAGACAGCTGGAGATTTTTTCCCTCTTGGTATCTGTGTCTGAAATACAAGTTGGATATTTGGAAGACTGTATGGAATGATTTTACATCTCTATAATAAAATGCTATGGTATTTTGTGTAGCTGACATCCAACATTTTAACAAAGAGGGTAAATCCTTACGATTACTGAGACTTTGTTTTGCTTCTATTTCAGTTGTACACGTATGTCTGTTCAAAAGATTTTTAAAGACTTAATGCACAGAGCTGCCAGCTACAGATTTCAGTGTATGAATGGAGGGAAACATCTTCAAGATTTCTAAAAGGGTTCAAATGGCACCAAAAAAAAATGTTTGAAAGCTTCTTGATAAGAAATAAAGAGAGAAAAGTAGGTCACAATGTCTTTTGTAATTAGATCTGTTTCTTTTCAATAGCCATATTAATAGTCACGACTTGAATACACTAAAAAATGAAGGCATGCTGTAATTTTCCTCAAGTGAAATTTAGATTCTGTAGGATTATACACAGGCTCATGGAAGCTTAGTTTTAAGGGATTTGGTACATGTTCTAAAGGTCTGTGGGTATGGCAGAGAAGGACTGAGAATGTTACAAATGCTAGTGCTACCCTAGAAATGCATCTTTGTTTTTGTAAGTCACTGAACAAGGAGGTTGGCAAGTTGGCTGTGAATGTTCTGTGGTTTCTGTTCCCTCCTTGGTAAATATAAATAAGAGCCAGTAAATCTTTATTGGTTAGCAAAGCCAAAATCGTTGGCATTATGGAGAGCTGAAATGTAGTACCCAGAAGGAGTACTCCACATCCTGGTGATGTTGGCAGAGCTCTTGCTTTACTTTCTTCTGCTTTTGTTAGCGCAGTGATCACAGCTTTAACATGAACTTAACAAACTCTATTTAATCACTGGCAATCTCATTCTGGCTTTGTCTCTTGGCTCTCATAGAGCTTTAGTTTAGTAATCTCAATCATACAAAGGGTAGAAAGGGATAATGACTTGTCTTGGAAAATAGACACTAAAAATCTGATAAAAGGACATTTTTTACCTCCTTCCCAACAGATTCTTGAGGTGATGTGTTTCTGGAAAAGAGGTGAAGAGCTAGCTCTTGATCAAGATGGAGAATCACGTGAACAGTGTTTTGTCCCATGAAAACAGAACTGCTCTGAGAGATCCCTGTGGTATGAAAGACCAGGAGCAATTTTAAATTTCATGCCACCAGTGTTGGCTTCAGGGGCTCTTGTTTAAGAAAATGGCATCTGGGAGCAGTTCCTCTTGTTTTCTGTGGGACCTTGGACACCTTGTGGTGTGTCCCCTCCCTTTCCTAGATTTAAGCAACGATTCCTTGAAATCCTCTGGTCTTCCAAGTGGTGGGAGTAGTCATGTTTCATGAGCAAGGTGCACATTTATGATGGAGCAACTGCAGAGATGGAAGCATGTGTTGAGACCACTCCATAATGCATGCAGGCCCTTTCACATTGTATTCTCTGAGATCTTTGCATACCCATGTATGGGTTATGCTTCCCCATAAAACCTACTTCGATGCAGCTTCTGGAGCCATACTCCCAAGTACAGACTGGCCTATGTTAGGCACCTTATGAACACGGAACAAAGATGTAGTCCCAGATTCAAAGAAGCTCATGAAAAAGTCAGAGATATCACAGAGCAGTGCAGACCAGCAAGAAGGTGTAAACAGATCCAGTGAGCACAACTCCTGTTACCAACTGGCACCGGAGGCTGTGCTGGCACAGTAGGGTAGTTACGTCTGGCATTCAGCATATCACAAGAGGATGAAATGCTTCAGGGGCTTGCTGGCCAGGCTTCAGCCCTTGCTGGGTCCAGGCACAGCTGAGGGGTAGCAAGAGGTTGGTCCTAGGAGCACTGAGGCCAGTTTGACTGCAGGAAGGAATTTAGCTGTGTCTATATGAGCTGTGCTTTGCCTCTCTGTCAGAGCAAGAACAACAGGCCTTGGCCCATTTTAGTGACTGGTGCAGATGGAGGCAGCATGTTTAATGTTCCATTTGCAGTTCTGGCTACTATTGATAGTAAGGCAAAAAAGGAGTCTGGTTGGTTTTTCTGTTGTTGAAAACTGACCTAAAAGCTTTGTTATTATTGGTGCTATCTGGATAGTATGAAAAAGCAGCTTTGGTTATTGGCCCTGCTAGGGTATTATTCCAGATGTTTTTCTTTACACAGCTGTTAAGCAGGAAGTAGAACCAAAACCAAAGATTGATTTGAACCATTGTTTTGTCAAAAACCAGAACTGAATCTGAATTATTGTCTTCTCTTGACTTCATTGAATTCAAATCATCATTGCCCCCAGCTGGATCCAGCCCCAGCTCAAACCAAACTGAACAAAGCACAGGCTCTGACCGCACTTTTGAATAGGTGAGACTTTGAAGGCTGAGTCTGCATCTTGTTACGGCTGCAGCTGATGTTACCTTTCTGCCAATAGCAACTTTGTTTTATTGTGCATGTGTGCATATGCATATATGTTTATGTATTTACCAAGTGTTGCGGTGTATACCCTTTTAATGAAAAAAGCAGGCTTATAAAACCAACGTTTACTGCTTAATTGGAAGCTTAATGACAGACTGTAGAAGTCTGCTGATACAATAACAAAGTTTTAGCAAATAGATGTGTGGTTCAGGGCTGGCAGGACTCTCGCAGATCACAGGAATCTTAGAATTTTACATCTCAAATACACGGTTTAGCCTCTATTTTGTGAAAGTCAGAAGAGCTTGATTGAATGCAGACGGCAAGCTTGTTCACTGCAAACCTAGTTAAACATGAAGTCTTGCTGGGATTAGCTTAATTGTTCCCTAAATGAAAAGGCTGCTTTGTACATAGGCTTAAATTTTATGCTTGCCAGATAAAGCAATGTGAACCTGTCAGGAGACACAGGAACTTGTCTGTGTAGGAGTATCACTGGGCCAACTGTCTTGCCTTTTATGCGATACTGTGGTGTAAAACACCACTCCACCGGTTTCATTTTACAGAAAATAGTCTCTGTGGTGGTATCCTGTGGGAACTGAAGTATCAAATTCTATTTTCCCTTCAAAAGTCCAACTACGCATGTACCCCGCTTCTGAAACTACACTCTCCATGACTGCAGCCAGCCGCATGGGCTCGAGGGATGCTGTGGCATGGCAAGGGAGCTGCAGGGAAGCTGTTCCAAGCAAAGCAGGAGGTGCCACTCCTTTGCCATGGTAGAGACTGCCATAGGTAACACCACAGTATTTGAAGTGAGAAATGCTATTTCTGATGAGGTTATACAGCAACTTTGTAGAAAAGGAAGCTTTATTATTCCATTTTTAATTTTCAGAAGTTTATGTGACACTTCTGATTATCAAACATTGATGGCAAATTCTTCTAGTTTTCTTTTGGCATCCCTGCTGCCAGCTTGAAAGCAAGAGTTGCTGTGATTAAAGCCTTTATTCTTTATATAACTGTAATTGTAAAAGATGTGGAGTTCCTATCTTCCAAAGCCTCCAGACCAAGCAAATAAAGACAGAATTTATGCAGCTGTTCTCAAGGGACCTGTTCTGTTTAATCTTGTTTCCTTTCTTCCTAACCAGTCTTCTCAAAAAGCCTCTCCATGTCAGGGACCAGTGTGGAGCAAAAAGGAGAGGCTGGCCAGGAACTGCTGGAAGGGAGAAGCTGGGGCACTGCCGGCCTCTGAACAACTGGGAAGTCTGCGAGCCCAGCGCAAAAGTGAGCAACCTATGGGTGAAAACAGCATGGGAGAATGATTTAAGCAGCAAGGTGTCATTTATTCCCTCTTAACTATGAGAAGGAGCAGTCTCTGTCCCTGTGCCCTTCATTGTAAGCATTCAGTAGGGAGCGGCTGAGTTACCCTCCATGGCAGGCAAAGCACTCCCAACATGCAGTTCTTAGCTCCATTGTGGCAGACGTGCATGGTTTCTCTTCACAGTGTCATGGTCTGAACATAGGTCTTGACTTCATGGTCTCCACAAGTCATTTTCTGAAAAGTGGCATCAAATCCTGCCCACTCTTAGAGACTGTTCAAGTCCATCAAGTCCGGAAACAGGTTGAAGTGTTTGTGAATCACTGATGAGGGGGTGCATTCTTAATCCTGAGTCTTCTTCATGTTCACCTACTTTGTACCAGAGGGATGGTGGTGGCTGTTACTAACTTTGCTACCACTGGCAAAATGTGATGCATTTATGCACTTGGTGTTCCTGTCCTTGAGAGTGTACTGGTGTTACTTACCTTGAGAAGTACCTTCAGTGAGCCACTTCTGCTCAGATTTTCTTCAGGAACTCCTGGGTTGGTCCCAGCTACAGTAACTTGTCTGTCACAAAGTCTAAGTGGAAAACCTAAGAGGCCAGACTCTAAATCTGAGGGTCTGTTGCAGGGAGGCAATGCTACTGCTCTGCTCCCTGCACAGCTCCACTTATGGCAGTGATTACTTGGCTTGGCCTCACTAGCATCATGTAAAATCCTTATGGATCCTCATGGTTCCAGTGTTCAGGATTGATGATTCTTCCTTCTCTTTTAGCGTCTTGTGAATAACTTCAAAGTTTTTTCATGCTAATGCAACTCCCTCTCTTCCTGGTAAATCGCCTCATTTTTTGCTGTTGGAAAGTGCTTAGTCTGGATTGCTTTACTATTAGTACCTAGTGGCTGCTGCTGCTTTCTGTATTATGTGTATGGGACAAGTATGAAATAGCAGCAGATAGCTTGACACCACTTTAACCCCTAAATGAGTGATAGTAGGAACTCCTCCTAGAGCTAGCCTCAAATGACTTTCATCTGTACCACTTAAACAGCATACGATTGTTCATGCCATTAAGCAGCGTGGCGCAGATAAGATGCCAGTGTATAAAAATGCGGTGCTAATGAAGTTAGAAAAGTTTCATTTCTATTTTAACAATGTCAGAGTTCTACCTCTTGTCTTTCTGTGCCTGGGAAATTAGGAATGCCTTTGCTCTGAAGACCTTGTAATCTAATGCCAGGTATTGCTGACTTTTACTGTTGAGCTTTAGTGCCTTGTTTCATGTGTGGTCCCTTTGACTTCAATCACGATAGGGTTGCCAGCTCTTACCCTGGAACTAAGCTGATGACTTCTCTGGGATCAGGGTCTGGCTTTGAAATAAGATGCAATCAGCAGAGATGATAAATACTTCAGCGAGTAATCAAACATGTAAGAGCTCTCTGGCTATTTTCTTTGGATTAGTATCTGGGAGTGAATTTCAATGCAAATTCACCTAAGTTGTGTCAAGCTACTGTGGTAGTAAATATGTGCTGCTGATAAATCTATTGACTCTTTGTCTAAATTATTCAATGCAAATTGTAGGATTGTGTTAGACTGGCCTGCCCTTTGCTGCTTAGCTGTTCACCCAGGGTTTCATTTCTTTTATACCTGCAATGTCTCCCTGATAAGCTTCTCACACACTTCTAAGTAATTTCCCAAGCACTCTCAAAATGGAGGCAGCAATTAATCTCTGTCACGTCAGGCAATTATTACTGAAATCTCTAACAGTGTTTCAGAATAATTAACCTTAATTAACCTTAAGCCTTAAAAGGTTTTCTACTGTTGATCAGCATGCCTGTAAGCTGCCAGTCACACATCTGTAAACTTGGAGCTGTCGAGCAGTTAGTAAACCCATATAAAGAGAGCTCCGTCTGCTTTACTGATTTCGGCTCGAGCAAAGGCTAAGCACTATATATTTCTACTTGTAAACTGCATATCTTGTTTTTTTCACTATTATATTTCTGTGTAATACTTTCCAAACTATTTTATTGTACCCTACAGTTAAAAAGCCACCTGGATATTCCTTTTCTAGTCTTTTCTTTTGAAACTATCTCTAAGCCTTTTTGCATGTTTTTGTAATGTTCAAGGCAGACTCAGACAACAGAGGTTTTCAGAAGACTTGTGCAGCTGGTAGCTTTTTGATGATTTCATTTCACAATTCTTTCGGAATAAATGTGGGTGCAAAGAGAACAATGAGTAAAATGTCGGTTGTGCTAAATATAAGTGATCTGTTTTAGAAAAATATTAACACTTTTGTCGGTTCAATTACACCTTTGCATCACTCTACTATAGCAGAGTAAAAAGAGTCTAACAGATGTACAGTAAGTACACGAATGGGGTGAACCAAGGGAATGTCATAAATCCTTTATACTAGAACATTCTGTGAGAATGAGAATACATCCAGGTGTTCTTTGAACCTCGTGAGGTGATTAAAGTGAGCAGTAGAAACTGAACTAACAGTACCGAAATACAGGAAGATACATGCAGGTGACTGGGATTTACACAGCTCATTTATAGGAATGGTAGGAGTGCCATGCATGGGAAATGGGGGAGATGAATACTCACAACTTTCTCCAAGTGGGAAAACTGGTTGGGGGGAATCTCTCAAATATCTGCTTCCAGAGGAAGTAAAATTTTATTTATTTATAATTAAAACATTCACTGCTCTGCTGAAAGAAAAATGAGACACATGATGAGTTGAAAGAGCACAGCCAGTTATGAGCAGCATCTAGGGTCTTCATGAAACAGTGAAATACTGAGTGCTAGAAAAGGATAATCAGTTTTATGCATTTTTAAATTAATACAAAATGCTACTCTCCCACTTCTGCTGTACAGCCTGGGTTTTAGAATGTCAAGAAAGTATTTGACATTTACAAGAGACTGCAGGCACTAATACAAATCATTTTTATCCCTTTATCCATTTTAACCACCAGGCTGAGTGAATTGTTGGCTCTGTGCAATTAGTTTCTGTACTTCTTGACAATATAACCACAGATTATCCTGAATTCTATTAATAATGCAAGGTGGAAGCTCTGTTCTTCAAGTCTGTTATTTTACTTCTAGAAAAACATCTAATTTCTTACAAACCTGATATAAATAGGCCAGCTGACAAGTATCCCAGAAGAAGAGAGTATGCTCGGAACAGTGAGATTTGAACTGACGTATTTTTGGCAAAAAAAAAAAAAGTTATACAGGCTGTATTTGTCTGAAAGTTTAAAAATAGGAGCCTTTGTCACATATGGCAGGAGAGACCAGGTTGAGTCATGATTGATGTCACTTGAAAGAACACTTTAAGCTTAGAAAATGACATCAGAATCATCAGAATTTAGGGAGATTTAGAGCGGTCCCCAAAGCCAGGGTGCTGGGGATTCTGGAAGATGCTTTGTGGATGATACACAGCACATTGCCAGACATCATCTGAGTGGAAGCCAGGAGCTACGGTACTTTGAGATTACATTTCTAAATGATGGGTATAATTTGTTTTAATAACATTCATTTTTAGTTAAATGCATGTTTCGGACTGTTTTCAGTTTTTTAGATTCAGTGCAAGCCCCCGTTTCAGGCTGGAAGTGCAGTCTGTCACTGCCTGACCTCTCTCCCCTTGCTCACTTACACGACAAGTTTCCAAGAGCAGTCAGGAGTGCTTTCTGTATTACCACAAGTCTGCAAATACAGCAGGGTCTCTTTCCATTTACCCTTCTCCAGTTTTAGTGCTTGATTCCTGCTGACTTTACTACTGAGCATTTATAAGTCAGACTGTAGCAGTACATATGTATGTTAGAAGTATTTCTTTTAGCTCCCAGGCTAAAACTAAACTTTTGTCTGTCTGCTACCACTAGTGTTAAAATGGAAGTAACAAAACAGAAGAGGTGCTTGGATTTCGCTTTATTAAAGATAACCAATAAATTGTGCGGAGTCTAGGTCACAGAGGGACTGTGCAGAGCTTTTGCTGTGCAGAGCAGCAAACCTCTTTGGAACAGTTTCTTATATTTCTCCTTTGATTTTCCACGTACAGCGAGTCTTGTTCCTTAGGTAATTCTGGTGTCAAAATGAATATATTTAATGTAAGCACACAATGCTACTTTTGATCCAGTTATATGTGGTTTGCTTTTAAGTAGCTTTTTAAGTGTAAACAGAAAGTAAACCACAAATCACATTTCTAAGAAGTAGATTTGTGCTTCCGGCAGTTAGCAGCAGCATCTTTTGTGGCTAAAATCATAGATATTAGTGAAAAATTGAGTTGTGAGGTTGCTCAGCTGCATACCTTTACCAATACTTTCTGTATAATTAGTTTTCATATTAAAATGAATTCAGTCTAGGAAAAGAAAAAGTTCATCACACAAGCAGCTCCACGAGTAAGGCATGCTTGTTAGATAATAGTTGCTGTTATCTGCCATTTAGATTTGCACATTGTGCTCGTTCCTGTTGTGTTTGAAGAGCCAAGTGGTGGATGAATTATTCTTGGTATTCCTGATTTTCAGTTCAAGCCAATAAACACCTGTGTGCGACTGGCCTGCTGGAGCCATTCCACAAAACATCTGGGCATGCTCCAGCCCTGGGGCTACTGGCGTTCAAAACAGTCCTCCCTGATCCTGCCACTTATTGCTGCTACAATCTGGGGCCTGACTAAGCGTAGGAATTGGATCAGGAATCCTGTCACTCCTGAGCACCCAGCTCTCTTGGTGGCAGAAGAGGCAGATAAAGGGACAAGGACTCTGGTGGATTATATGAGTGGTGAGGGAGAGGGAACTGCATGTGATTCCTTTGAGAGCAGAGAGAGTTTTCTGTGGGTCTTCTGTGTTATGTAGTGCATAGAACAGACCTACGCTGGAGGATGAATCATTGTGTAGTAAAAGCGAGCGTGCTCTGTGGAGTCTGTACTTTCTTTGTTGTAGCCGTTGGAAGTACGTAGTGAATGAAGCAGACAACTCTAGAGAAGAGAACATGTTTTCATGATTAAGGCATGAGTGCAGCCCTGGGGAACTGAATTGTATCCCTGCTTCTGCCCCAGATTTTCTGTGTGATACTAGTCACTTTGCACATGTGGTTGTTAATTGTGTTTTTCTTGGTGCTGGGTACGGTGGAGGGTAATTTGTAGAAGTGCTGAGCACTTGCAACTGCAAGCTGTAGGCAGCGGGATCTGTGCTGTGACTGTAAGCACTGCTGTGCAATGAATACTGAGAAATCAGGCACCATGCATCTCAATGAGGCAGTTAAGAAAAGCGGAGGCAGGAATTAAAGATAAATCTTCATGAGCTCAATTTACATGGCTGGAGAACAGCTTGAACGGGACTGTCCTTCTTAAACTTGTCCTTCCTCGTACCTAAAATAAGAACAGCAAACTGCTAGCTAAATACAAATGCAGCATTTGTGAACAACTGCTGAGTTTAAGATACTTGCACTAAACTGAGAATTAGTAAAATGACTATTTAGCACTTATCTGTCGTTCATCTGTCTTGCCTTTTTTTTATCGTTCAAAATGGAGATACTATTGTATCACTAGGCAAAGGCACTGAAGAACCCCATAATAAATCAATATTGTGAGTACATGTAAGTTTTTACTGACCAGATTCAAAGCAATCATTAGGGATTCAGTAGCCTCTGTGTATTTTCTCATAGTCTTAACATAGGAAACATAGGCTTAGCAGTACAGCAAAATGGTAACAGTTTAAAAATACTACACTGTTCTGTTGGTAAAAGTTAAAAAAGACACTTCAGACAAACTTTATGGGAAGGTACTTTTTGGAGTGAAGAGTTACTTTTCTGCTAACTCTCAGAATAAAACATGATGGTTTGTGTAATGTGTATCTTATAAATCACAAATTTCATTAAAAATAAATACATAGCTATCCTTGTATCAAGATGGGCAAAGAAAAAATAATTAGCTTTCATATGAGAAATGGAACAATGAGAACAGGAAAGCACATAATTTCACAGATTTCTGTAATATAAATAGCTTTGTCAGTTTAAATATACTTTGTCACTCCTTGATGCTGTAATCCAATGCCAAGAGAATTATGATTTCCTTTTTAGAAGTGCTATTTAGCATGTTTAGCATATTTTATTAGAAAACTCTTCTATTCCTCTATCAGTTAATCACAGCTTTATAAAACATTACATTTGGAAGTATCTGTTTCATGTGACTAGAAGAGGTATGCTCCTGAGGTGTTAGTTACGTAGGTGACTAGAAAATTACAGGATTTTTTTTACTTTAGTAATCACAAACACATACTAAAATGGAAAACCAATTGTTCTCTAAATTTTGTTTATTTGAGATGTAGCCTATGTTTTTCTTGGAACACAGAGCTATACGCTCAGGATGCACACAAGGCACCAAAAGTGAAATTCAGGCAATCCAAATCCACAAAGCAATTCAGAAAACCTCTGCTTTATTGACTATTAAATCTGAGTTCACTTGGCTTCGTTGCTATAGTCCTGTCTCCTAAGTGCCAAAGCTCAGGTTTCTATGAGTACACCAAACTCGGAACTTCTAGCTACAGCTTCTTTTAACCCCACTAAAAGACAACTCTGCGCTCAGTTCCCTAAATGGTTCATTTCAATCCAGGCACTCTGAGCACACCTACCACTTACTGACACCACTGGCTGCTTTCAGGAGGGAACTCGCTCATGTGGTGGGCTCTTGGCTACTTGATGATTGCCCATGAATGTCTGGAGTTGTCTAGTGAAGTGGTGAGTTACAAAGGACTTGGGTTCCTGCATGCTTCAGTGTCACTGCCTTACTGTTTTAAGCTTCAGCCTCTTTTACAGAAGACAATCGTCTCCTCAGGCAGGGACTGTGGCTCCATGAAATGTCCTAGGAAAGCACCTTAGAGCCCTGCACCCACATGGGCACCCCTGGGCTCCTAAGAGGACTGGTGAGGATAAGAAACACCCCTGTGCTCATCATTCCTGTTTGGCAGACTAAAGAGCTGAGCACAGCACAGCTGGATGTACATCATGGTGTGCTCAAATAATCAGAAAGCAGTAAAATGTTTTGGGGTTAATTTGAACATGGTTTGCTCTCTGTCTCAAGTGCAGCATATGTAATTATCACCAAAAGTGGAGACGAAAAAATCACCAGATAATCCTTTAATGTTACCAGTGTGGCAGATAACACCACGTGTTTTTAACTACAGTACCCTACTTCTACATAGAATAAAGTTAAGCTGTATTTAATTGTCAAGTCTTTAATTGTCAAGTCTCAATGCAGTGAGATTGCAAACACTCCCCACTGAAGATTCTACTCAACCCTTCACCATGTGGAGTATTTAATTCCAGTTTTGCTTACTTTAAACTGAATGGAATTTTTGTACCAAATTAGGACAGTTAAGTCCTTCCACGCAGAAAACTACTGAGCTCACTAGATATTTTTCTGTCATGGCGCCAAACCATACAGCAATCATGCTGAGGATATGGATGGAAGAAAGGTTGCTCTGCACAGTAATTCCATATAGGAATCACTATTGATTACAGCAAGGATACTTTATGGGTGGTGGTAAATTATGAGGTTTCTCTTGTAAGTGAGAACATTGATTTACATGAGTAATGCAAAGCCTCACACGTAAGCTGAACTCAAACTTTAACTGTCAGCCATAACACATCTATTTATACCACAGATCTGTGCTTAACCACTTATATTTAATTATAATCAGTTGCGGTGCCTCCATTTTCTGTGTTTACTCAGACAATCACATTTCTGAGGTCAAATGCAATGACAGTTACACTGTAGTTATTTGAAGACATTCTCAGTTGCACACTTTGCATGTATCTGAGGACAGAATTTCTGGAGAAGAAAGGATGGGTACAATTCGTCAATCCTTCCTTACATGAATAAAATTTCACACACATCAATTTTAGTCAGGGCATGTCTGTGCTGCACAACACAGTGCTGTGGAGAGACAGCCAAAGCAGCTCAGAAGGAGCCAGCCTGGGTAACTGGAAGCAGTTTAACCACATTGCTTAATGCTGCACACTGTCTAATTTACCCTGGTTTTTAGCAAAGTAAATTAGCTTTGGCAAAGCGTTGCACAAACAGGCTAGCCTGCTTCCAGCCCATGAGCCAGCTTTGGCACCAATTTCTACATCGTACTTACTGTGCAGTATAGTGTATCTAGAAGGAGAGGCAAAGGACTGCTTGCATAAAAACTTGCAGATTCTGATCCCTGAATCTTATTCTGCACTTACTCATTTTAACGTCGCAAAACTTCTATTAACTCTTAAATGTCACTGCCTCAAATTTAGTGGTGTTACTGAGCCAAATATCAAAAGAATAAAATACCATTATATCTGAATCACTAAAGCATCTCATTTTGAGCTTAGCATGCTTAAATATGCTTATGTATGTTTATTTGACAGCAGTAGCAAACTGCTAATTAATAGTAGATTTCTTCAGAATCTTAAATTTAATTGCTTCCAATCTCTGGCATACAAAGACAGCACAAATCACAAACATTGAAAAACCTGAAACCTGAGCAGAACAATGTCACTAATGTAACTAAACAATGTTTTAGAATGTCAGAGGTACTAGATTTCTTGAAAGAGTCTGGTAAAAATTATGTTTAACTGTCTGCTGCCTCACTGTATTGTTGATGTTGACTGAATTTTTCCTCCCATGCAAATCGATGACAAATATGTTTATGACAATGGAATAGACAGTAAAGTCTTGCCATGTATGATTTTCCAGCAGGGGCAGAATTCCCTTCTATCTCTTGAGAAATTATTTTGAACTACCTAGTAAGACTAATCAGCGACCTTTTAAATACCAAAGCTACAGGTACTAACTTGATATTCCAGGAAGGATTGCATTCAAACTATTCAGTGTTATTCTTCCCAAATCTAAACAAAGCACATGGGCATGTGTTTTGAAACAATGGACTGCTTCATCCCCCAAATTTTACATTATGAGTTGAAGGCTTACTGGAAATCCACAGCTCTCATAACAAACTGAAATATTTGTTTATGAATAAATTGGATGCAAAAAGAATAGACAGATAGTTTTAATCTCCATCTCTGCTTGAGCTAAAAAATAAATGAAGTTGTAACAGCTAGATGCAACTCTTTCCACAATAAAATAACTAACTACCAAAATGTGGGAGAGCTTCAGATCCTGTAGAACAGCCTTAGTGATTCTAAATCTTAACTAAAATGCTTATTTTATACAGTTATTACCAGAGGAAGAAATGGAAAAAATCAGAGGAAAAATGTACCCATATGGAGGACTATAATATCCATGGCACAGATCTTGAGAATAATACCAGAAAATTGGCTGAATTAACTGTATCAGAATGTACACTATGCAAGAAGACATGTATATGTAACACGTGTTTCTGCTTCTCTCACTAAAAATTATTTTGATAAAAAGGCAATATTCTGCCTCCATTCGAATTTCTACTGTAAAACAATTTGGAATTGAACTATAATCCCTATTCTCATCCATGCAGGACCTACTTTTCATCCAAGTTGAGTGAAAATGTCAGGATCATCAAATATATTATATGGATTTAAAGGAGAGTTGCTTTTTTTATTTTGTTGTGTTTTATAGCTTGTTCCTTGTACTGTTTGTACAATCACTAAGAAACAAAAAGTTAGATAAATAAATTATTTTTCTGCCAGGCACTGGATTAATGCTCAACCTTGCAACATCCAACTCTTGCTTCGTATTGATTTTACAGCCAGTTGCTGCTCAGACCCTGTAGTGATTTGGCTTTATTCTGATCTTCGCTCCTCTCACAATTTCACATTTTCCCATATAATATTACCGTACCACCATAAATGATAGAAGCAGTCTCTTCAAAACCAGTGATTCCTCCAAGGTGCTTGAATTCCTGCCTTAAAATGACCTACAGAGAAGAGAAAATGCCCTGACGTCAGTCTTGGCTCTCTTTCTGATTATATAACTTTTTTGGGGGGGAAACACTTGGATATTTTTTTTTTATGTTACTTTTCATAAAAACTGTGCAGTAATTAACCGGATTTGCTATTGGTGATTGCTCAAGTAGTGAAATGGGTCTAATACAGTAATAACTGGAAGGCTGAATGCCTGAAAGAGATTTTAAATTCTCTTTAACTATGTAGTGTCTTTTGCATGTTTGTATTAGTACCTAGTGTGAGAATCGGTCTTCATGAAACAGCAAAACTCTCTTTCCCAATTAGTATTGAAATGTTACACTCCAAAATACTTTCCACCAATACCTCTCATTTTTCCTCTAGAAAAAGAAAGGCATAAATGGAGACTACTTATGTCATTCTATTTCTAATTTTAAAACAATCTCCCTTTCACACTCCCACCCCAAAACAAACAGCCTGATCCTTTCTCTTTTTCCCCTTGAAAAAAAAGGCAATTTTTAGAAACCTCTAAGAAAGCAAAAGCATTTGGTCTTGTCAGTAACATTCACTTGAGAAGGGTTTATGTTTGAAAGCTAAAAACACTGCTTTCAATCACAGTACAAGACACACTGTCTGCAGTATTACTTTTAATATCAAGTTATTTCAAATGTCTAGCACCAGAGGGTAAACATATGAAAAATAAGTATAGCTGGCACTTTTTATTCCTACATTTAAAAATAATCCTCAATTTATTTTATTTTTACTAGCCAGACTGTCAAATTCTTTTCTAAATTGCAAAGGTGACTTGTGGTTCTGGAAAACCCAAATGTAGAGTATGTGCTCTGATTTGCAGGGTTACCACTTTGTCCATTCCACTTGGCACACACTATTTTGGATAAATATTCTGTTGGTTTTGTTGTCTCTTAATTGAATTTCTACTACTTTGAAGAAAAATATCAGTATTGAAGTTCCATTAACTTTTTAATATAAATTAGAATGCCTGATTTACACTGAAGCTCTAAAAGGCTTTTGTAGCTTTCTGATGGCTGTAGAGAACCTGTATTAACTTTGTAATTATAATCCACCCATAAAACTAATTCAAGTAACTAATGAGCAAGTTTTAAAAGACATCATGTAGCTTCTATGAATACCAAATTGCTGTACTATTAAGGTCAGAATACTTAACCAGTTCTACAAAAAGCATTTTATATAAACACCAAAATGCACAGATATTCTTTCTCCATGGGAAAATATAAGCAAAATATAAATTACTTATGCAAGGAAGAATCAATCAGAAAAATAAAGACAATCAGCCATTAATTTTTTCTGTGTGTAAGAGGTTGTGCCAGTACATGAACAAATCAAGGTACCTGATGGAGTCAATACTTTGGTCACTCATACTGTAAAACCCAGCATTTTAAAACAATACAAAATTTATTTGTGTATTTAAATAACTCTACTCCCGAATATCTTTCTCTGAAACTTTCTCTTTCAAAGTTACTACATATACGTATTTTAATCACAGAAATTTCAGACAAAACATACATGAAGAGGGAATTGAGGTTGCAGATAATGGCAGAAGAATAATGTAGGAATTAAAAAGGAATTGCAAAGGAAAATCCTAAAATGTAATTATTCCCTACTCAAGTATCACAAACCCAGGAAAAATGGAAAAAAAAAAAGACAGCGCACCATGTTAAGCCCCTTATAACCTGACCTTTATCTTGTTCTGATGCAAAGATGTGCTGATACAAAGAAACTTGTGAATGAATTTACTACATCTTTCAAAGTCAGAGTCTTTTAACCTTGTACTCCAAATATTATTAGGACATAGTCACAGTGTTCTGGTTATTACACCACACTGATCATTTCTTTCAAATTATACTCAGAAATATTCAGCAGACCTGGGCAGGAGTAAATAGAAATGAACAAAAGGGAATAAGCAACCATCTATGAATAGAGTGAAGCATCATCTAGAAACAGTTCATACGATGAAATATTATACTCTTTACTGATAAAATCTTATCAAATCATATTCAGTCTTGGACTGTAAACCATGATTCCCATCTGGAAGCCATTTCTAAAAAAGAACAGCAGAATCTCTGTTATTGTCATTGTTCAGAAATAACTATCCAGATATTGTTAATCTATAACTTATTAACCAAAATATTGTCCTGCTTTATTTTCCTTGAAGATTTTTGAAGTAACTGTCTCTTTGCCAGACATCCACGCAGACACTGGATAATTCTTTATTACTTACACTGAGTCCCATTTGGAAAACGGTCTTTTCTAGTTTTTAATTTTTAGGGCCAAGACAGTGTATTGCACAATGTCTAACCTTTAAAAGTCCTCACTTAAGATCATTTGGCATTTTTTGAAACTCATAATTGTGCAGAAAACAAGAGGTAAGTAGCAGATCACAGCACAGAAATCAGAGACTCAGTGAAAAATGAGTAGCCATTTGATTTCAAAGGATTACGTTTTGAACACTATTTTCCATAAAATCATGCTTAAACAAAAGATATCAACAGATTCATCATGCCCTCTCCCTCTTTTTTGCATTCTCAGGTAGGTTACCTCTTGAGTTGAAACTTTCCCTTTCTATAAACCGCAACCCCCTAAGTGAAAAAAAACCCTAAACACAAAACAACAAAATGACAATGGACTACAAGAATTTAAGATGCATAAAAACGTTCACTAGCAACTCTAGGCACCTAAACAGTGCATTTGTACTGACACAAAATGGAAGAAAGCCAGCACAACTGGATTTTTTATTTCTCTAACTAAGCCCTTTTCACCAAATCAGTTGGACTTCTGTTTGTGAATGCCAAAATATGTAAATTTTGCAACAAAAGCAAGCTTATGAACAATAAAAGGAAATCAACAAATACTATGTTTTCTCCTGATTTTCAACTTGTCTGACAAACTGTCCACAAAAAGCTATGGCTATTTAGGAGAAGGAATAGCTGGTATTATTCACCTTGAATGGCTTTTTTATGTAAGCCTCTAAAACTGTTTTTTTTTTAAACTTGTATTACTGTTTTACTTTAACAGTAATCATCTACACCCTTGTCTACAATAATGTGAGGAAAAATATACAAGAAGAATTGCTTACACATTCTGGCTGCAGCTTTGAGATTATAAAAAAGATTTCCAATTGCCCTTCTCTCCGTGTTAGCATATTCCCCATTTCTTTGTGCCAGTAACAAATGATCTCATCTTCGACTATGCTCAGGCAAACATTTTACTTACTGTTTTATAAAATGTCTTTTACATTAAAAAAATAGTGAAAATAACTTACAGTAAAAAGTCACTAGTATATAAATGTACTATTACTAATTTATAGAATTAGCCAAACATGATGCAAATGCCATCTTTGGGTGCTCTCAGTTCCCGAGTAAGCTGCTTTTGAGAATACATTATGACTTTATTGCCTGGAAGTTTTTGCACCCTTATTTTGAGTCACCAAGAGAACACTTTCATAATTCTTTAAGTGAATACTTTATGTAACACTTCAGCGGTCAGACAAAATTTTCTAAGGTACCCATTTATAGTCTTGTGCCAGGAGGTATTAATAGCATTGATCTATCAAATCTCGTAAAAGCAAAAGGTGGTACTAAATATCCTTCGGTCTGGCTCAGAAAGGGAGTTCCAAAGAGCTTATTTCTTAGTGACATCTGATGCAAGAAAGCATGACTTCTTGTCATCCAGCACAAGCTTGAATGTAACGGGGGGAATGACCCAGGGCTTACCTACCAATGCAGTAACTGCAGTGCTGACTTGCTATAGTCAATGCATGTCTGAAAACATGCAGACTATAGAGCACACAGACTGTGAGCAGACTGCAGGAAGAGAAATTGTTCATATCACATAAGGGAATGAATAAAGAGTTTAGCACTGAAGAATGCAGTTCACGGAATACAGTGAGGTGCAGAGCAAGCATGGCAGAGTACTTGTGTGTGAACAGGCACCATTTGGAAGTCCCTGCACCCACAAACTGTACCCTAGACTCCCTAACCGTCTCATCTGACTTGAAGGTCAGGGAAAGAGTTCATGAACAGAAAAAGTAATGAGATCTGATTTCTTCTAAAATTATGTGCTTTGTCCCTTAATCTTCTGCTGTCCAACTTCTCCATAAAACACCCACTGAGTAAGGCTGAGGTTACTCAAGTTCTAAGTAGCCAGCATAGTTTGAACATAACCCCTGGCTGGCTGGTTGCTACAGAGCATGACCTGCAGTTTATATGCCTGTCTTTACCTTAGCTAAGGCATTAATTTTGCTTTCCCATCAATTCAACAACCTCAGGTCTTATGACACTTGTAGGAGCTTAATTATTTCCAAGACTACAACCATCTGTGAAATATGGTTCAAATTTGCTATCGGGTTCAACAGTTACATTGGAAAAATGAAGAGGACGGGGACCAAAAGAAGGAGACTGCTAGAAGTATTCTTTTTCTTTAGAAATGGAATTTGATTTTATAAGGATAAGTGCAATACTATATAGTTAAATCCTACAGAAAGCTACAAACTCATCAGGTAAAAATAAAATGGATTAAAAATTGGTTGTATTATTCAATTGCAAGGTGACAACAATCCCTAACAGGGTTTGAAAAACAAATGCAATCCTAGAATATAGTAGTTGAGGAACTTCCAGAAGAGATTAAGACTGTTAATGCCATTGTAATGAGTCCTGGTGAAGTGGCCTTCGAAAGTGTCATATCTATTTAAGAAAAACAAGCTCAGCCTGGAATATAGAAAATAAGTGATATTAAGATGGTAACAGAAATTAAGAACTTGCAGGCTGGGACTAGAGGAACTGAACTTGTTTAACCTAGCAAAGTGAAGTCTAAAAGAAAAATACTCTAACTCAGAATCTGGGTGTGAAATCTAAGGTGGAAAAGTAGCTGCTGAAAATAAAGGACCAGTGTTGATAAAAGAACACACAGACACAAAATAGTCATGCAAATTGAGGTTAGAAATTAAATCAGATGATTTCTGGTCCTCAAAAGAGTTACACCAGTCTTCCTCTGAGTAAAGGTTTCTCAGTCTTCTGCTGGCCTAAAAACTCAGTATTTGCCTGCCACAAAGAAGGAACAAGAAAAGCACCTCCAATCTCTAGATCATCCATAGGCCTTTAGCTTCTAATACCAGATCCCAGCAGCATTCCTTGCTGCTGGCTTGCAGGATGTGTTCTGCTGTTTAATTTTTTGAATTATCTGTCCCCACTGGAAGTTCCACTGGTAACTAAGCCTAAAGTAGTTAGCAAAGCTCCTTTTATGGCCAGTGGAGATGCATACTCTTTGAGGGCAAATCATTCCATTTATCTTTGCCACCAAAATATCTTTCCTTTTTGCTGTTCAGTGGAACAGAGTGATCTCATTCAGGAATTCTATTTCTTACTCCACCGACTTCTTGCTTAAAATACTCAGCTCTGTGTGAAAACTCACTGTCTTCACTCCGCACCACCCATGGTGGGGATACTTTTACTCCCTTTCACATTTTGCTGTTTGCACCTTCTGCCCATCAAATTCCATTTTTTAATAGTCATTATTTCAGTAAAAAAAAAGGAGATTTAATCCTTTCTGAAAATGCATTCATACATAGTATTCCATAAAGAAAAGTAATGGCATTAAGTCTTTACTCAGACTTTTTACTAAAAATGCTCTTTCATTTTCACCTAATCAAATGATTCATTTTCTATCTTCTCAAAGTTATGCAGTGATGCAGTCAAACAAAAAAAGCCAATGCTATTCTTAAGTCATTATTTTGCAGACTGCGTGTATTTATCTGTAGTTACTGCTTGAAAGTTTCAGCAAGTAAAATGTATATGGACAATCATCGCCATGAAAAAAACGTATTAATCCCACACTGTTATTCTCTGAGATGCATCCTACATATGTTCCATGACCTTCCTCATTATTAGAGGTTTCTTACCCAGCTGAGTTCTCAGTTGGTAAAATAAACCATGGCTATGTTAACTCTATGGAATTGGAACAGCTGGGTACTTCCTTTGGACTATCCTTGAAAGGATTATTTTCCTATGCCTTCAGAAGGACACATATACTGGAAAGCTGAACATAGTTTCCTAACACTATTCAGCTAGTGTGCAACAGATAGCCATTCCTTCCCAGGTCAAATCTCAGTATGTTCTTTATTATCTGATAGGTATTTTGGTGGACCCATATAACTGAACAGTATTCACAGGTGGGAAAGGAAAACAGGGAATATACTTCTTATAGGACCAGTGGCATAGAAGAGGAGACAGGCAGGTGGAAGTACAGTAGCAATGTTATAGCTCAAAAATTTATCCAGAGTGATGGCTCATTCACATCATGGATCAACAATAGGTTTGGGGAAATAGTATTAATTTCCATTCTGCATTTGGGCTGCTTTATTTTCATATTTATAGTTTTGTGTTGTCCTCAGTATGTGAATGGACTCTATTCATTGGCACTGCCCATACATATTTCCTTAATTTCTTTCAAGAACACTAATTTTACATTACTTTTTTTAACAAAAAGCCTTTTAAGCAAAATGTGTCACACTGCCTCAAGAACTAAAAGCAGTCAATGTTACCCTTACTAATTAAAGCTGTTTTCTTCTAACAGCTGAAAGCTAGTGAAAGGTTTAAGCTGTATTGGCTAACATTCAAGCTAAAAAGTATTCGGTGGTCTTCCTTTAAACTCTAGTGTAGAGTAACTCTAATCATTACATTGTTTAATTTCACACCAAAAGCACGGACTGTTTTATCACTTTAAGTCCTCGTACCTGCTAGTGAGAAGCGTCCTGCCCTCTCAGACTCAGCTTCACTAGCCACAACCCTGAGTCCTGCTCTCAAACCTTTCTGCCCAGGACTACTTCACCCTTTGTGGGCCCCCAGCCGCCTTTCTCAGGTCACAAATGGCTTTAAACCACAGTGCAAGCTTTATCAAGGCGTCCATACCTGCGCACCACCGGAGTTTGAGGGGCACTGTAGACAGCAGTTGCAGCAGCAACTATCCGTCGCACCCATCCACCTGCTCTCCGGGGTTCGGAACACCTTCATCCTGTCCCTCAGGGCCACGGCAGGCACACCGGTCTGCATGCCGAGGGAGAGAGCACACAGCCCGGGGCACTGGCCCTTCCCCACCTCCGGGCTCGTCTGTGTTTACGCGGTAACGGCTGCCGCCGGGGCCCGTCCCCATAGCAACGCCTCCGGCCTCGGCCGCGGCCCTAGCGGCGATGGCGGGCTTCGGCGCGGCTCACCCGAAGCAAGGTATGGGGGATAGCGGTGAGGGGCGGCCATCCGCGGGGCTCCTTGCGTCCCCGGGGCACCCGCACACGGCCGTCGGGCCCCAGGATCCCTCCCGCCTCCTCCTGAGGTCTGTAGAGGGTAGGCACCATGCCGGGTGCCTTGGACTCTCCTCGGGGTGAAGCTTCCCCGTTGCACTTTGGTGGCTCTCGGCCTCTCCAGGCTTGGAGGGCAGGTCTGACACCCCCCGTTTTCCTGCGTTTAAGGAAGGTGCCTGGGGAGGGTCACTGTTGGGGTTGTATGTGTCTGTCCACCTGCACATTTTAACAGTGTATCAACTTCACAAGGAGAGCCCAAATGCCTTTTGTTACAGCCACAACAGAGGCCTGCTGCTGTCGGCTCCCTGAGTTTCTAATAGCACCAGAAATTAATTAACATGGAAAACCCCTGTGTTTTCACCTGATTTCCCAATTTCTTTAAATTTTGTGAGTTGTCTTCTTCAGTTCTCCTTTCCCCATTTCAAGGATTTAAACAAGTTAAAAGAAACCGGCTGCCCAGTGAAGTGGTGGGGTAACCATCCCTGGAGGGAGTTAAAAGAAGTGTAGATGTGGTGCATAGGGACGTGGTTTAGTTGTGAACTTGGCAGTGTTGGGTTAACAGTTGGACTCAATGATCTTACAAGGCTTTTCCAACTTCAGTAACTATGATTCTATGTTTATTTCAAATTATAGCAGCCACAGCATATTGCATTTGTCATTTGAGAGCTCAGGTTGGTATTTTTCTGACTGTTTCTTTGCAAAGGTATTTGATACTTTGATGCTAGTTGACTGACACCATGGGGGCGGCATTGGCCAGTGCAGCTCAGTGGACTGCTGCTGGTTCTGGAGTTGGCACACTCGAAATCACCCCTTTGAACGAATCTCTTTTAAATCAAATTATAAAGTTTGTGGAGGACTTCAGCACTAGATATCCTCAGGAAGCAGCATTTGTCTTCAAAGAGCCCCTTGAGTGGAAAACACAATTGCATTGTTCAGCATTTGTAAACGGTTATGAGATCAGGTGAGTCTGAATTGCAGTGTATTTTGAAATTGTGAAGGTGAGTTACCAAGCCAACTGTGCTTTAGTGTATTTGGGAGGCTAAAATGGGTGGGGATTTAATGATATGTATTAAAAATTTGAGTTAAAATTTGCTGCTTCCCCCCCCCCAAGAGTTTAAGACTCTTCTATCTCGGATGTGGTACAAACCCATTTAGTTAGTGATGTTTACAGCTTACACTCTCTATTCCTTTTATAAAAAGCATATAACAGTGACTAACCCTGAGATTTGTGTTAGTGTTAGGAGTGGCTCCTGTGTGGTGGGTTGACGCTGACTGTATGCCAAGTGCCCACCAAAGCCACTCTGTCGCTCCCCCTCCTCAACTGGATGGGGGAGAAAAATATGACAGATAGCCCATGACTGAGATAAGGACAGGGAGATCACTCACCTATTACTGTCATGGGCAAACTAGACTTGACTCACAGTAATTAATTTAATTTATTGTCAATCAAAAGTAGGATAATGAGAAATAAATGCAAATCTAAAAACACCTTCCCTGCAGCTCCTCCCTTTTTCCCAAGTACAACTTCACTCCTGATTTTCTCTGCCTCCTCACCCTTAAGCAGCGCAGGGGGATGGGAATGAGGATTGCTGTCTATTCATTGCACATTGTCTCTGATGTTCCTTCCTCCTCACCCTCTTCCTCTGCTCCAGCATGGAGTCTCGCCCACAGGAGACTGTGCTCCATGAACTTCTCCAACAGGTCCTTCCTATGGGCTGCAGGTCTTCATGAACTGCTCCATTGTGAGTCCCTTCCAAGTGTGCAGCCCTTCAGGAGCAGTCTGCTCCAGCATGGGTCCCCTGCAGGGTCAGAAGTCCTGCCAGGATGGGATCTTCTCTCCACCATGTCATTGGTCCTGCCACTGCTCCAGTACAGGCTCTCCATGGGATCCCAGCCTCCCTCAGGGACATCCACCTGCAGATTTGCAGTGAAAAAATTGGTTTACCTTGGGAGTTTTCTAAAATACAGTTTAAAGAAATTGCATATGCTTTATCATGTGAAGCTTGTCCTCTAAAATTTGTGGTTAAAGGCCTTATTCTAAAAGGATATAATTCAATTTTTCTAGTGAAGCAACTGCTCAGTCTGAAGCCAAAGCTAAAGATGGCCAGTCATTGCTGCTTCTCACGGAATCAACTCTCAGAGTTCGTAGTTTCGACCAGCTGTCCTGTGTGCTACAAATTGCAATGGAAAAAAAGTTAAAGGAAGTACAGGCATGCCTTGAAGGTTTCCTTTCTTCTTTTGTTTTCTTAATATTTTCTTTCTTTTAAAAAGTATGTCTTCTTCAGTTCATGTTTATGTGCAGAAAGGCATACCTTCATTCTAAGTATATGGAAGGTGGCTAAAAGGGCTGATAAAGAACTTAATGCTTCTTTTATTTTCACATAAATCACTAACAGAAATCTGGAATAAAGCTAAAACTGTTGAATATCATCTACAAATTAACACATACTGAGTAATACCCTAGCTATTGCAGCAGGCAGTAAGTTTAAATTTCTGAAAAAGAATGTCTTATTGGAGGCTAATAGCAGTTTTTCAGATATTTGTAGTTTAATCTTCTTTCAAAATGTTACATCCTTAAAAAACAGGAAAAAAAATATCTTACACAATTAAGATATTCTCACCTGCACAAGCTTCACAGTGAGCACTTCTAGGTCCTTCTTACAGTGGCTTTTAAAATAGAGGATCGAGTACTTCTCGAGTGTTATACTCAAGTCCAGGTATTCCAGTGTGTCAGATTTTCAAACTGACAAGAAGACCCTTGATATCCTAAACGGGATATCCTCCTCTTGTAGCTAGAAGAGATTAGTAATATTATTTAGGAATTGGAAAATTAGAAAAAAATTGAGAAATTCCAAAATTGGGAATTTGGTAATTGGAAATTATATCTGCAATGCTAAAATATAAATGCTCATACTGGATCAAACATCAGATCAATCTAATAATCTAGGGTCCTGTCACTGACAGTGATCAAACATGAATAATAAGGAAGAATAATATGGACAGGGTATCATGCAGATGCATTCATAGATGCATGGGACTTCATTTGCTGAACACAGCAAAATGATTTTTTTAAACCCATTGATATGCAGTTATGTCACTGTTTACCAAAAAGAACAGCTGACATAGCTGTGAGGAAGTAATGGGGCCATTAGGAATGCTCTTGGAAAACTTTGAAGATGTTCTTTAACACTAAATCATATTTACAAAATTATAAGTTTTCAGTGACTTAAATCCATTGATTTCCTGTTTTTTTTTGTGATCAGCCAGGCATATTTTTGGGGAAGGTGGCTGTTGATAAAGGAAAGTATGTAATATTCACCTCTTGGTTGCATGTGTCTTAATCTTGTGAGAAAGATAAAAAGTATTTGTTTTGCCTAACAGTTTTAAACATAGTATCACATTATATGATTATGGTTCATGTTTTCAGCTAACAGAGATCCTATAGTGCAAATTCTTGGCCCTGAATATGGGACTGTTAAAGGAGAAGATAAGTCCATCTTGCATTTACTTGAGAAAGTGAAAAAAGGTGGTGACCCTGAAACAGAGGTGAAAATGAAAATCTTTCTTCTGCTTCATCAGTTGGATTTGCAACTGCTTAATAGTTCTTTGAAACAAATTTCACAGTAAGTGCATTTCAATTGGAAGCTAAGCATGTCAGCCAGTGCATTTTTTGTTTTTATTGTTAAATTAGATTGGTTTCAACCCACAGTGTGTGCTTTTGGTGTGACATAAAGAAAGTGATTGAAATAACTTTCACTGTTCACTAAGTTATTGAAAAAATAGTCTTTTTTTTTTTTTTCTCATGTTGATCTTGCTGTAGGTGTGGCTGTGCAAGTGTGTGCCTGTGAGTGTGGTTTGTTCGTTGCATGTGTTTTGAATTTTGGTAACAAATTGAACTCATTTGTGCAAACAACAAAGTTAGTTAAATTAAATGTTTTCAAGGAAATATATTTCTTCATGGAAATATATTAAGTATTGCATTGAGCCTGTTTCAAAACTACAAGGACTTTATGTTAGCTATGGAACTAAAATTTTACTACACTAACGTAAAATGAAGAAAAACAATCGAAGATGACCCATTTCCAGCTTTTGTTGCTACTATTAAGACTTGGTGTAAAAGAAAAAAATCATGTGATATTCTCTTTTTATTTCTCTGAGTACATCCTTTTCATGAATACATTTTAACCCATTTTCTATTAATTGCAGAGACGTAAGACTAAATCCAGCTGCTGTAAATAATGAAGTGAGTCTTCTCAAGAATTTCTCTGGGGAAGGAGAAAATACAGTACTGGAATCACTGGAGTATACCTCAGGTCCAGATCTGATCATATCTCATGCTTATATATAATCTCGTTAAAGTACTTATCATATGATTCTGTGATAATTGACTTCTGTGTGAAATTTGCTAAATTAATTTCAGTAATAAATTTTAAGTGTTTAAAGTGTTTATTTCTATTTTAAAGTTATACGGTAAAATAGAAAGTATTTTCAGATATGGAATGCTGTTCTTAAGCCTTTAAGTACAGAAATAATCTCCATTTATGAGTATCTTCTGTGGAAATAGAGGAAGTGAACTGAGTCTCTGATCCTGTGCTAAGCACAGTTCCAATTCTGAGTTGAATCAGGCCACAGGTCTAAGAGCTTTGCATGATTAATTCCTAACAGTATGAATTCTTGAGAGTAATGTATTGTTTGGGTATATATGTTATATTAGTCATCAAGAATAACTATAAAAAATACTTTAAAACTGGATAAAAACACTAATGCTAATTGGTTACAGATTACGTGTTCTCTAATGGA